TAGTCAGTAAAGGCTTTACTAAAAAATGACATCTGGGTGAAAAGCTAAGGGTTACGGAGTGAGGTCAGTATCTGGGGGGAAAGCAATCAAGCAGAAAAAAAGAGAACATGCAAAGCCCTCAGGTAAGCACAGGCTTGCTTGGAGCTAGGTCAGCAGGGAGTACAGAAGGGGACAGGGATGATGCCAGAGGAGAAAATGGAGTGGGGGTGGGATTGGTTAAGAATGCCACAAGCTGGCTTATATTTTGTCAGGATCTCTGCTGAAAGGAGACCAGGGAGTCTTTTCATTATAGATCTATTTTGAAGGCATAACCACAGAATCTGCTGATGGAATGGTTTTGGGAAGAGAAAGGAGTTAACACTTACTCCAGGGATTTTGGTCTGAGTGAGGATGGCATGACCAGTAACTGAAACAAGTAAGGCCTGGGAGCAGGTCAGGCTAGAGGGGAAGATCAGGAATTAGTTTTGGCATGTTAACTTTGAGATGCTTATCAGACCAGGAAACAGAGGTGTCACAATAAGGCAACTGGGTATATAAATCTGGAGTTCTGGATGAAGGTCTAGGAAGGTATCTGAGAGCTGGAAGTGCTAAGTCTGATAATGTCATCCAGGGAGCGAGTGCAGAGGTAGAAGAAACTGTTGTCCAAGGCTTGAGTCATTCATATCTCAGAAGTCTAGGGGATGAGGAACACACATGACTTGCCAGAGAGAGGGTTAGGAAAGATGTTACTTTGAAAACAAAATTAAAACAATCAAGTTATCGTATGACCCAGCAATTCTGGTACCCCTCGGTGTATTCTCAGGGCAAAGTGAAAACACAGGGCCCCATGAAAATTTGTACACAAATATAATGTTCACAGCAGTATCATTACTCAGGCCAAGAAGTGGAAGAAATACAAATGTCCATCACTAATGAACAGATGAACTGTGTATGTTAACACAACAGATTATTTGGCCATAAAAAAATGAAGTACTAATATGTGCTGCACCACAGGTGGGCCTGGATGATATCAGGGAAGTGAAGGACAGTCACAAAAGACTGTTTTATAGTATGATTCCATTTGTTTGTTTGTTTTTAAGTGTTTTAAGATTTTATTTATTTAACTGAGAGAGAAAGCATGCAGAGGCAGGAAGGACAAGCAGACTCCATGCTGAGCGTGGAGCCCAGCGCGAGGCTTATCTCATGACGCTGAGATCATGACCTGAGCCAAAACCAAGGTTGGACTCTGAACCAGCAGACACCCAGGTGTCCCAGTATGACTCCATTTATACGAAATGTCCAGAACAGGCCAATCTATAGAAGCAGAAAAGTAGATCTGTGCTGATGGCTGTACAAGTCTGTAAACACGCTGAACCCATGGAACGTACACTTTTACTGGGTGACTTGCATGGTGTGTGAATTTCATCTGAATATAGCTGCCAGAGGAAAAAACCTGAACCTGGAGAATACACTGATTTGTTTCCGCTTGTATCTTTTATGGGTGCTCACCCCAAATATGAACCTTGCATTACAACAGTAAACTTACAAAGTACAAGTAACTGTGGAAAATATACAAAGAACGAACATAAAGAAGAAAACTGCGAATCATCCATAAATCCATATGCTTTCACGCTTCAGGTGACTCCGTTTTAATCACGTTTCCCCCTACTTATACACATGTATTTTGGTAAAAACAAAACAAAAGCCATACTCTAATTTTACCACCTTTTTGGCTCACACATTATGTAGTATTCTTCAAAAATGTATTCTTCATGTACCCGTATTACATCATATGGCTGTGCCACAAAGTACTTCTAAGGCATTTTAATTGCTTCCATGTTTACTATTACAAACAGCCCTTTACCTGAATCTCTTAATAACTATTTGATTAGAACAATTTTCTAGAAACGGAATTGCTTTGTTAAAATAAGTGAATATTTTGAGGTTCTTTTTTTTTTTTTTTAAGATTTTTATTTATTTGACAGAGAGAGACAGCGAGAGAGGGAACACAAGCAGGGGGAGTGGGAGAGGGAGAAGCAGGCTTCCCGCTGAGCAAGAAGCCCAATGTGGGGCTAGATTCCAGGACCCTGGGATCATGAGCTGAGCTGAAGGCAGATGCCTCATGACTGAGCCACACAAGTGCCCCTGTTTTGAGGTTTTTTTAAACACTGCCTTCTAGGAAAGCTATACCAATTTATCCTCCATCAACCATGTATGGGGACCGAATTTACCACAAAATGAACTAGTTATTGTCAGTTTAAACTTTTCTACCAATGTCTATGTGAAAATATAATCTCGGGCGCCAGGGTGGCTCAATCAGTTAAGCAGCTGCCTTTGGCTCAGGTCATGATCCCATGGTTCTGGGACTGAGCCCGACATCAGGCTTCTTGTTCAGCAGGGAGCCCTGCTTCTCCCCTACCTGACGTTTCCCCTGCTTGTGCTTGCCCTCTGTCTCTCTCTCTCTCTCACTCTCTCTCTGTCAAATAAATAAAATCTTTTTTTTTTAAAGATTTTATTTATTTATTCATGAGAGAGAGAGAGAGAGAGAGAGAGAGGCAGAGAGAGAAGCAGGCTCCCAAGGAGCAGGGAGCCCGATGCGGGACTCGATCCCAGGACCCTGGGATCATGACCTGAGCCGAAGGCAGACGCTTAACCATCTGAGCCACCCAGGTGCCCAATAAAATCTTAAAGAAAATACAATCTCATTTCATTTGGGATTCATTGCTTACTAGTGATAAACCTATTTCTACACTGACATCTTTTGTAAATTGCTAGCTTACGTCCCTCTTTCCCCTTCTGGGATATCAATCATTTTCATAACATTTTACTTTGAGAGGACTTTTATGTATTCCTCCTTCTATTTCACATGCTGCAAATAACATTTTGTCACTTGTCTTAATTTTTATGATGGTGGTTTTGACTTACCAAAGTTAAAATACTGATGTAAATGCCTCAATCTTTTCCTTTATAAATTCTTTTCCTAAGAAAATCTTTTCCCAAACTGGTAAGAAAATGGTCACCAAGATTTCCTTCTAATAGTTTTTGCTTTTTACATATTTCTCCTTGCAACATTTTAGTCAGCACATGAAGATATTGTGCTAATAGGTTTACATATACTAGTTCATTTAATCTGTAATAATCACCCTGGTTAGAAAGATCTTTTATTTATTTATTTTTAAAGATTTTGTTTATTTGAGAGAGCGAGCGAGCTCAAGGGGAGGGTGAGAAGGAGAGAGACTCTCAAGCAGACTCCTCACTAAGTGTGGAGACCAACACGGGGCTTGATCCCACGATCTCTGTGACTTTGGTAACAAAGGTCTTATGTGCTAAACAAAGATTTAACGCTAAAGCAATTTGAAGCCCCATTCACTTCACTGTGCTCACACACACACATTAAGCTATCTTAACAGAGCTACACTTTGCTGTAGGTGCTGTCATTTTCTCCCTACCCCTGACACAATAACCTATCAGTACAGGACAGAAGTCCTTATTAAAGCTCAATGAGCTAAAGTTTGTATATACTTAAGTGGAATAAGCCACTGTCCAAGTCCCTGAATCAACCCAAATACCTTGTGTTTTACATTTTTTTAGAATAACAGTGTAGGTGTCTCTAGGTCAAAGTGTAGCACACTGCTCGGCTTCAGAGTACAGATCTAGCTGGTTCTATTTTGCAAAACCAGACTAAAACACATTTTATTAGCTAGTCCACAAGATAAAAAGGTCTATGGAATAACTTCCCCAAGAATCTACTGTAAGCATAAATTTGTTATATTTTTATCAGTGCTTTCTCTCACTTATTTTTTCTTTTTTATCTGTGCTGACAGGTGCTTAAATGACCACATGCCAGATTCTTGATCATATTCCTCTTCTCAATGAGTACTAAAAACTTCTTGCTTCAACCTTTATTTAAAATGCCATTTTAGGGGCACCTGGGTGGCTCAGTCAGTTGAGTGTCCGACTTGACTTTGCTCAGGTCATGATCTCAGGGTAGTGAGATCGAGCCCACATCAGTCTGCTGGAAATTCTCTCTCTCTCTCTCTCTCTCTCCCTCTGCCCCTCCCCCTGCTCATGCTCGCTAAAATAAATAAATCTTTAAAAAAATAAAAAATAGGGGCACCTGGGTGGCTCAGTTGGTTGGGCGACTGCCTTTGGCTCAGGTCATGATCCTGGAGTCCCGGGATCGAGTCCCGCATCGGCCTCCCTGCTCAGTGCGGAGTCTGCTTCTCCCTCTGACCCTATCATGCTCTCTTTCTCTCTCTCTCAAATAAATAAAATCTTTAAATAAAAAAAATAAAATAAAATTAAAAAGTAAAAAATAAAATGCCATTATTGTAAGCATTCTCAAATTCTTTTTGAAACTAGGAAAAGAATAGCATTCATTACAAAAAATGCTGTTCCCAGCTGTAAATTCAGCAAATTACTACGATATAATTTTGTGTGCTCCTCAGCTCACAGATCAATACCATTCAAGCTGGGAGGGACACACAGGACACTATTCCCATAGACTAACTATACTGTGAAGTGGGACTGGAACATAACATTCTAATCTTTCATAAGCTTTTCTGATAAATATCACATTAAAATTTAAACAATGAATTAAGGCTAATTAATTACATGGTCGAGGACTCAGTTGTGACTAGAACACAAACTTTGACAAAAGACAACTATATAGCTGACGAAATCTTGATGCTGTCTTCTTCCTCAATATCAAAGTCAATCTCAAAAGCAGACAAGAATATGATAGGCAGGGCAATTAAAAGCCTCACATAATTAAGCACTTTATAAACTGCTGTACACATGTTAATAAAAATGAAGTACTGCTTTTACCAGTAAACCATTCTATGCCTTACGGGCTTGGGTTGTGTTTCATTTTGACATTAATAATCCAGGTAGAAGTTTAGATTTAGGTCTCCAGAACAAATAGTGATTATTTCCCTACTTCTCACTTAAACTTCCAGACTTAAACTACTAAAGGATTCCTGCCTTTGGTTCCCTGTGACCCACACAAAAACTGTTCTTACCTTTACACCTTGAATGAGACCATTCATGAGGAATGTGTGTTGAGGGAATGTTTCATGTAGAACCTACAAAAAGCAAACAAACATCAAGAGAAATTCAAAAACAAATTAAAGAGAAAGATTTTGCTTCTGTTAATGTTAGGTTAGGTAAATAAGATGAACCCTGGAATGAAAACATTTTAAGTATCAGAGAAATATGTAAAATATCCTTAAAGTATGAAAAGGTAAAAAATAATGAGGCAGAAATCTAAATAAGGCAAGAACCTACACAGGAGCACTCAGGTACTTTTCTTACAAAAGCATTTGCAGCAAACACAAACTGTTAATGGGCCCCCTTCACCACCAACAATTTTAAGCAGGTGCCACAAAAGGTTATATAAGCTCAAGTATGAACCTGCAGCCCAGCTTCATGTGACCTAGGTAGTCCAGGAAACTTCAAGCCTTCAATTTGGATCACAGTGATTCCAGACTGGTAGCACCTCTGGATATCTAACAGAAAAAATCTAAAATCAATCCTGAAAAGGCATCATCTAGGTTTCAAATCAACCATATATTTTTTTTTTCAAATATAATGACCAGGACATAATTAAAGGTAATCAGATACAAAATGGAATATGACACCATGAGCAAGAAACAGCAACAAAGAATATGTATGTAATAGAAACAGACTCTCAACAACTTCACATTCTGGAATTACTTAACAGAAGTAATGTAAAAAGAGTGTGCTTGGGGTACCTCGGCAGCTCAGTCAGTTAAGCATCTGACTTTGGCTCGGGTCATGATCTTGGGGTCCTGGGATCGAGCCCTGGGTTGGGCTCCTCATTCAGCAGGGAGTCTGCTTGACCCTCTCTCTCTGTGCCCTTCCCCCACTGGTACGTGCATGCTTTCTCTCAAATAAATAAAATCTTAAAAAAATATGCTTACTATGTTCCAAGATATAGAAAATAAGCTTGAAATTTTTGAACTAGAAGCTGTAAGAAAGTCCACAGATTTTAAAAAGAAAAGAAATTCCAAAACAGAAAAACGTATTGACTTAACTTAGGAACTCACTCAATGGAGATATCTGACAAGATTAGACATGGCTGAGAATTACTGAACCCAAAAGTAGGTCGACAGAAACTATCCAGAATGCAACATGGAGAGAGAAAAAGACAAAAAATAAAAGAGAAAGTAAAAGACACAGAGGATCCTTTAAGAAAATATGACACAACTTCAATTAAACTTGTCTTGTTTATGAGGCAGACACAAAATTTCAGGAGCCAATGGCTGAGAATGTACTAGAACCAATGACAGACATCAGGGCAGAGATTAAAGCAGCATAATAAATTTTAAGCAATATAAAAAGAAATCCAAACTCACAATCAGAAAACCAAACCAAACCAAACCAAACAAAAAAAACCTAAAAGCAGCAAGAGAAATACAGACTGGCTTCAAATGAGCAGCACTTAAGATGTCTTCGTAAGAGTAACAATGGAGCCCAGACAAGAAGCATGCCATCCTATCATCGACATAACGAGGAAAGGAAGACAAATGCCAACCTACAATTCTATACCTGGTTAAAATGTGCTTTGAGCACAATTTTTAACCTAGCAAAAACTTACAGTAGTGAGTCTACTAACTTATGGACTCTACCTAATGAGATACAAAAAAATGTACTTCCAGTAGAAGGAAAATAATCTAGACTAAGATGTGAGATGCAACATGAAATAAACAGCAAAGAAAATGGTCAATATAAATGAACCGTGATGCACCCAACAAAATGATGTGTCCTGTAGGTTTTATTTTTAATTGTGTGGAATTAGAAGACTTAATGACATTAGAATAAATTAGTTAACTAAATGAAGTGTTTACATTCCTTCACCTCATTCGTGCTGACACTGCTGTCCTGGATGAGGGTGAAGATATTGACATTAGACTTCAGTAAGTTTGCATGGAATGCTATGAAAGTAAAATGCATTCACAGAAATTATTTCCAACCTTTCCCTTAACAAGATTACCCTTAAGGTTTAGAAAAGGGTTGTCATCTCAGCTAGGTGCATTTGAACTCTACCTATTTATAATGGAAAAATAAGAAAGTAGATAAGGGACAGCAAATATCACATGTTAAAAATCTTGAGTTCTCAGAAAAATCTCAAAAATAACACACTTCATAGGATACAGAGATATAAAAATTTTCTTTAAAGAAAATGGAATGCAAATCACTATCAGAACTACTTAACAGTTTCATTTGTTACATGCATCACAAAAATATGGCAAAACAGCAAAACACAGGAAAGTCAGTATATTTTTAAAAATGTTTCTCTAATCCTGGGTGTGCCACGGGGTGTGGGTATCTACTGTCTCACAATCCTCTGTTCTCCCCTTACATATTCTGTCAAACTGAGGCTGAGAGCATACAGACATTTCTCGGACTCCCTGTGTGCACAGGCTTTCTCACAGTTTCTGCTGGGGGAAACAGAAGGTGGAGAAGTGCCTGTGAATACTACACCAACCCCAGGGCTGCCTGTTTGCTGTCAAAGGGGCACCGGCACCGATCCTCCACTGCCTCCGTCTCTGTCCTCTGACCTCCCCTAAAACAACTCTACCTTCAAAACGACCCAAACATGCATTCACTTGTGCAGGTGATGCAATCCAGAAACAGGAGACAACCACTTAAGTCTGGCAAAACCATTTGCACGTGTAAACAATGGAGTATGCATTTACTGGGCTGTACATTAAACTGAAGAGATCTAATGGGATGCCTGGCTATGTGAGGGACCATTTCTGGGCAACAGTGCCACGATGCAGGAAGTTCCTCTAAGAATTTTCGATCTGTACTTTTCAAAATTCTTCTACATTTTCCTAATTGGGAGGGGAGTGGAGAAGAAAGCAGTTAAATCTTATTGGATAAATAAGTCAATAAAAAAAAAGCCAAGTCTTCATAAAATAAAGCAGCTATAAACAAAACAGCAATATTCTACCCATTTTATGATAAATTAAAAAAAATTAAATACAGTATATAATTTAACCTAACGATAAAAAGTTTATTAAACATTTCTGATAAAAATCTAAGCTTTCATTTTTAACATCTTCCTATATAAAATAAAACTTAAGGAAGATATTGCCTTTATTCTTCAGGACTATTGTAAGCATTAAATATAATGGTATTTCCTTTTTTTAAAAAAAAATTATTTATTTATTTGGCAGAAAGAGAGAGAACACAAACAGGGGAAGCAGCAGAGGGAGAAGCAGGCTTCCCGCTGAGCAAGGAGCCTGATGTGGGGCTTGATCCCAGGGCCCCGGAATCATGACCTGAGCTGAAGGCAGACGCTTAACCGACTGAGCCGCCCAGGCGCCCCTATAATAGTATTTCCTAATAACTGAAAGTTTAGAGAGTTGAACTGACTTCTAGTACAATGAAGCTAATAACCGCGTATGTATGTTTATATGCTTACACATTACACACACACACACACACACAGCTCTATTTCTGTTACTTCTACCTAAAATTCCACTGATGGGAAACTAAATTTACAGTGTTCCTGAGAAGCTAAGAATAGTGAGGGACTTCTGGATGATACACAGCAGACAGGAAACCCTGAAAGAGTTGAAGCAACAATAACATGTAAAGGTGGGGTAAAAAAAAGATCTTTGAAAATGTAAATTTCCCAGAGTCCAGGAAAAAAAACTAAAACAAAAAAAACAAGATTCAGCACTGGAGGAGGAAAAACATCCATAGTTGAAGAGGTTTTTAAACGGTTATAAAATGAACTGCTGGTATCTTGCTCTCAAGGCTGCTGACCTCCGTATCTGTGCCCAACATAAGGATCAGACAGCATAGTTCTCCGAACTGACATTACTAAATGGGATACCTGCAGAACCAAATGGGTAGGATTAAAAAATGGTAATGCCCCAGGTTCCTTATGTTTGCCAAGAGTAGCATAAAGCCCTACAATCACACAGTAAACTAATTCATCATATAGAGGGATCTCTGAACAACCACACTGTCATAAATCAAGAGCTCCTACAAGCAATGCTTGCATTCAATTCTGAGGAACAGGCCTGTCCACCGGGGCAGTACTCCAACTACCAGAGGTGTCTAGGGCACAGGTGGCAAATTGGCAAGCTGATATTCTTTCTGACTTGTATTTGTGTTTTTCAAAGTGTGATAATTGTCACTGTGTAAATTTTAGGAAAAATCATACTCCATATGATTTTCTAGCATGTCACAGGAACTCAGAAGATTTCAAAACATGGGGCTTCAACTGCCACATCACTGATTAGCTGAGTAAGCAGACAGTGGCTGCTGCAGCTGAAGGAGCATGTATTCCAACTACAACATTCCTACCCCACTTCTGACATTTACGTTACTTGCCTAGCCCCAGAAGACATTTGTTTTCACCATCTCTGATCTACCCCCTCATTTGTAAACATAAGCATGTATAAAATTCAGTAACAAATCTGAAAATACTGAAAGGCACAAAAAGAACACAAATAGAAAAAGATAATCTGCCTCACTGCCAAATAACCAAATTATGGTAGGAAACAGAAGAAAGTTTTAAAATAAGTAAGTGCCGGGCGCCTGGGTGGCTCAGTCATTAAGCGTCTGCCTTGGGCTCAGGTCATGATCCCGGAGTCCTGGGATTGAGTCCCACATCGGGCTCCCTGCTCAGGAGGAAGCCTGCTTCTCCCTCTCCCACTCCCCCTGCTTGTGTTCCTGCTTTCGCTATCTCTGTCTGTCAAATAAATAAATATAATCTTAAAAAAATTTTTTTTAATAAAATAAAATAAGCGTCCTCCAAGTCATTCCAAAAAATGCTATGCACATTAAAAACAATGTGCTGCACAGGGACCTGCACCAAAGCAAAACAAGTAAAAAAAAGTCTTCAAGAACTGATTATAGGAGAAAGCACAGAAATACAGAAAAGGAAGAACATCAGAATGGATAAGTATCAGGGTAAATACTAACTGTATAAAATAGTACAATGTACCGTAGTGTTTAAAAAAATACAGAATTTAGCTGCACAACAATAACGTAAAACGTGGCAGAGAAATACATCTCTCTTGAAGGATGCCAGAACAAGTAGACAAAAGACATCAGTGAATATATAAAAGACATCAAACATAATTAACAAATTTAACATACTTACCACATAGACAATACTACTCCAGGGAATACTTGTTCTTTTCAGATCATATGGAAAATTTATCAGAATTAACCATATGCAAGTATACAAAACAAGCTTCAACAAATTTTGAAGAACTGAAATAATTCATAATATGATCTCTGATAATACAATCTAGAAAAGTCCCCAAATGTTTAGAAATTAAGATAATATACATGCAACAATCTATGACCATAGGGAATACAGTCATTAAGACTGTAATAACTCTGTATGGTGACAGATGGTGACTATCATGGTGAGCACTATGTAATGTATAGAACTGTCAAATCACTATGTTGTACACCTGAAACTAATATATCATACTGTACTTCAATTAAAAATAAAAATAAAAGAAACTGTCACACACACATACACACACACACACGGGAATACTATTCAGCCATTAAAAAGGAAGGAAATTCTGCCACTTGAGACAACATTAATGGACCCCGAGGGCATTTCGCTAAGAGAAATAAGTCAAACAGAAAAAGACTAATATCATATTATCTCATTTATATGTGGAAGCAAACAAAACACAGAGAACAGACTGGTGGTTGCCAGAGGCAGGGGATGGTGGGTGAAATGGGTGAAGGGGATGAAAAGTACAAGCTTCTAGTTATAAATATATATCAGAACTAAGTGAGTGGGATTTATGCAAGGGTGGCCTAATATTCAAAAATCAGTACTAACTGGGCACCTGGGTGGCTCGGTCGGTTACATGTCTGCCTTCTGCTCAGGTCATGATCCCAGAGTCCTGGGATCCAGCTCCGCGTCGGGCTCCCTGCTCAGCGGGGAGCCTGCTTCTCCCTCTACCCCCCCTTCCTGTAATCGCTCTCTCTCTCTCAAATAAACAAAATCTTTCAACTAAAAAAATCAATATAACTGGCCACATTACTCAAATAAAGGAAAAATCTAGTTGTTATCTAGTTACATGCAGAAAATTCATTTGATAAAATTTAACACCTAATTAGTTAACTGTAAGCAGAACAGGAATAGAGGGGAACTTCCCTTCTCTGACAACGAGTATCTACAAAAACATATCTTTAGCAAATAACATACTTAGTGGTGAGTTTTAAATTTTGGATCACTTTCCAACAGAGATCATCTATGAGATAAGGATGCCTACTATGATTGCCTCTATTCAACACTGTACTGAATGTCACAGCAATGCAGTAAAAGAAAAAGGACTGGAAGATTTAAAAACTGTCACAAAATATATGAACGTGTATGTAAAAATCTGCAGATAAACACTTAGGATTAGTAAGTGAATTCAGGAAAATCACTAGACACAAGGTCAAAACACAAATTGTGTCATGTACCAGCATAACAGAAAATTAAATCTTTACCCATCCCCATGAATACCCTAGCCAGCTAAGCACCAAGCGTTCAGGGACTGACTGGGAACTTGCCACCAGTCTTGGCACCCTGGCTGTGTAAGTTAACAGCCCCAAGGCCCTGAAATGCAAACTAAGACCTAGTCAGAAAAGCAGCAATGGGATGGGAATGACTATAAGCAGGGCCAAGTCCGTATTTCCAATGGGAATGGCAATCTCTCTGCCTCATTTATCCCAGCAATTAGAGCCTCCATTTTTTACTGCATCTCATTAATAGCCCTTTTTATTTTGCCTTAATTAGATTTTAGTTCTTTTACCTCTCCAGAAAGGGATTCTGTAGTGTCTTCTATGCTTTTTTCAAGCCCAGCTAGTATCTTTATAATCGTTATTCTAAACTCTAGTTCTGACATCTTACTTATATCCATACTGATTAGGTCTCTGGCTGTCAGTACCCTCTCTTGTTCTTTTTTGAGGTGAGTTTTTGTCTTGTCATTCTTGCAGAACGTGGTCACTTTTCTATTTGTAGAATTGCAGCAATTCTCTTCTTAGATCTCTGGATGAGTTTGCAGGTGTTCAGAGTGATTTGATAGCAATCTAGCTGAATTCCTGGGACCTGACAAAACTAAGGTCTCCTACTTCTCCACCATCCTGGAAAGTCTCCAATTCTGTACTACTTCAAACAGAGCTCTTCTAATGAGTGCTAGGATGCAGGCAGTCAGACTGGACAAAATACTAATATGCGGGTACCGTTCTGTATCTCCAAATCCTTACTTCAGACCATTTTTCTCACCTGATGGAAACAGGACAGAGTGCTGTCCACTAGTTACAGCATGGAAAAAAAAAACCCACACATGAACCATCATCCTAATAGTTACACCAGAGTGGGCGATAGATGCAGGATGCCAAGAACTAGTTAACTGACGACAGTAAACCCCAACACCAAGGAAGAGGATCAACGAAGTCCTGCTGTAATAAACAAACCCTCATTCTGTCCCTTCCTTATCAAACAACCTAACATTATCAGTTCTCTATACAACCAGAAAAGGCAGAAAGTAGAAGGGATATGCCAGAGAAAATCTCCCCCCGCCACCACCCCCCATAAAGAAGGTGAAAGGAACCAGCCCTGCCACATCAGAACAGAAACAGAGGTAGCAAACTGTGATGTGAAGGCTAAGGGAGATAGGACAGTAAAGGACATTTAGCTTAATTTAGCAACACCAAGAGCTCAGAAAAGAGAGAATGAACCCATCTATTAACTCAGGAACACTTTTTCTATGACAGTATAGTGTGTCAGAGTGATGCTAGCAACCCTGTACTCCTCACATGTTTATTTTAACCAAATCTTTGAAAGCAGCAAAACTGCTCAGAAACTGCAAAGAGAAAATAAAGCAGCATTTTAGCTGGCTTCTAAGGCTGCATTCCAGGGTCTAACGAGGACAAAGAACCCCTAGGAAAATTATCTGCATTGGGCAGTTAGAAGAAAGGCACATCAGTCTTGGGATGCATATTAAAATTAATTAACTAATTAATTAAAATTAAAAGAGATCTGACAATCTGGTCTAGGGCCAAAAAGGTCCCCAAAGATTTTAACTGTCTGGAAAGTGGTTTTAGAATTTCTAACAAGGCCTCAAAAATATTAAAGTATTCTTCACTTTGAATTCTTACTAGAGCATGATTATAGGATTAACTCTATATTGAGAAACCTGCTGAACCACTACAGCAGATTTCTGGTTGTCTTAGAAAAATACTATTTAAACTATTTAAAACGCTTAACACATGGGGGCTGGGGGGAACATGGACATGGACAGAGTCAGAGAGCCTAGACCAAAAGTTAAGTAACATAGTTCCTTACAACGAGTAGCCTGTTGTGTCTATATTCATACTGAAAACAGGTCTCAGAGAAACAATCCCTCAAGGACATACACGTGTGCCTACAATGCATATACTTATTATTCAAAGAAAATATCTACTGAGCACCAACTGTGTCACAGGTAGCCCAAACAGTGGTGAATACAGCAGGCTCATGAAACTTAAAACGGGGACCACTTACCCCCATTAACTAATAACCAATTACCTTCTGTAGTAAAGCATTAGGAAGGAAAAGGTAGTATAATGAGAAAGAATAAAATAGAGGTTTAAAAGCACAGGCAAACCTTTAGGCTGACTGTTCCAGCCAAGCTGTCATTTTATTTTATTTATTTATTTATTTTTTTAAAGATTTTATTTATTTCAGAGAGAGAATGAGAGACAGAAAGCACGAGAGGGAAGAGGGTCAGAGGGAGAAGCAGACTCCCTGCCGAGCAGGAAGCCCGATGTGGGACTCGATCCCGGGACTCCAGGATCATGACCTGAGCCGAAGGCAGTCGCTTAACCAACTGAGCCACCCAGGCGCCCCCAAGCTGTCATTTTAATTAAATCAAGTTTTATTTTAAATGCACAAGAATTAAACATAGCAAAGTCTTATGTACGGCTAATAGCCACCCTTTAAAGATCCCTGTTTTCTAAAGCTAATTTGGGGCCAAAGTTTATCTGTATCCAAAGGGATTGTCTGGTAAGGCAAAATGGTGACTGGGAAGAGTTAACCACCAATGATTTTTAAGACGACTGAAATATAAGGCCAATTTAAAAATATCTTTTTCTTCAATTTTAAAATATTTTTATTAGAATTGTTAGTGATTGGGGTGCACCTGGGTGGCTCAGTCGAGTAAGTGTTTGACTCTTGATTTTGGCTCAGGTCATGATCTCAGGGTCCTGAAATTGAGCCCTCTGTCGGGCTCTGTCCTCAGTCCACTTGGGATTCTCTCGCTCTCTCTGTTCCTCCCCCTGCTCGCACACACACGTGCACGTGCACTTTCTCAAATAAAATCTTTTAAAAAAATAAAATAGTAATTAAGCACCCAAAATCTACATGCCAACCCTTTCTTAAGCATTTCCCTTCCCTCTAACCACAACACATATCAAATATCCAGGTTCTGGCTAAGAAATTCAGTACAGCCTCTGCAAAGAAGTGGCTATAGCCAGTAAGTTACCAAATACGGCAATGATCACTGTTACAAGGTACTTACCAATCTATTTCCTATGTTCTTAGTCAAAGGCCATTACATCCATACAAAGTAAGTTACAAAGTTCAACAAAACTTTGCAATAATTTCCCCTTGTGCATCTTCACAGTCTTCCTAAATACCTACAGTTCACTCACAGCACTTCCAAGATTCTGGCTCAGTGGGAGTGCCTTGCTACCCAAGAATATTTAACGTGCAGCCCAGGTGTTTTGTTGCAGGTAGTTCTTAGTCTACACACTGGAAACAACACAGTGGAATAAGCAGTCTTAAATCGCTGTCAAGAGATTCTCTCAAACACATACCTAAACATTTGGCCCTGGGGATATATGCTTAAGAACCTCTGTTTTGCTTTCATAAACAAGGACCTGTTCAGCAATACTTACAGTTAACATTGGAGTTGTCAACAAGCCCCACGCAAAGAATTCTAGGAAGATGACAATAGCAGCATGATACACACTTGGTCTGCCAAAGCCTTGTAGCTAAAAAAGGAAGAAAGTTATTAGGAAAAATAGTAGACAGATAAAAGAAATCAATTTTGCTAAAATGGTATCTAACACACAAAATAAAGACTGTATAAAATAAGCTTAGGACCTACCTATATTATATACGATAAAACTTCATTCTGTGGCATCCCTGATTCCCTGCCTAATCACAGAAGGTGGCAAAGTTATAAACTTTTTCACTTGTCCCATGACTGCAAATAACTGAGCTTTGGTTGAGAATCAACTGGGTCTTTAAGAGACTGAGGTTCCAAGATCTGACTATTCTGTCTCTTACTAATTATGTGTCCCTCAGCAACTTGGCCTTTCTAAGCCTGGTTTCTCTAGCTATGTAAAGAGAGAGGTGGGCATGTGGGTCACTTGCTCAAAAGCTTCAGGGGCAGCACAGATGATTTAAATGGTGGGGGAGGAAGAACAATAAGGAAAACACAGTCCATACCAGGGGGTCAAAATCCAACTTTGTTTGTTACATTTTAAGACTGTATCTATTCTGCTAATTGTCTGTAGTTTATGACTTCTGGAGATAAACCTAAAATTCCCTTCAACTTAATGTTGATTCTATGACAACACTTATTACAAGATTAGGCACCTTGCTACCACTTGGTAGTAACTGAAAGTGATGCTTGCAAAAGACTCTGTAAAGCCCTCACTATTCTTATGCTTATATTTTTAAGTCTTTAAAAGGTAGAAGTAAATCTACATTTCACTGGAATTTAATCGTGAGGAAATAATCAGACAAATCCAGACTGTGGGACATTCTACAAGATAACAGGCGTACTCTCCTTAGAAATGCCAATGTCATAAAAGATGAAAGTAAAGGTCAGGAGACTCATACATGTCAAAGGAGGCGAGAGTCACACAACAAAATGGGGGATCCTGGAGGACGGGGAACAGAAGGGTAAAATATGAATACGGACTTTACAACAGATAACCATTTGGGAATTCTTGATGTCTGCGACTTACCGTCAAACGGTTTGGCAAAATAACAACAGCAAAAAAACCCAAAACGGTACGTACGTACTTCCTAAAGCAAACGTTAAAAAATGCTAACTGCTGAATTTAGATGAAGGGAATATAATTTTACTTTTAACTTTTTTTTGTAGTTTTGAAAATTTTCAAAGAGCCAAGAACAAATGTTATTAAAAATACAAACTCATGAATTTCTAAATTTTTGCCATGTCCAATGAAAAGTACCTTTACGTGCCATTAAATAAGACATTTGCAAAAACAGAAAGCATTTTACAAAGTTTAAAAAAAAAATTTAAGCATCTAACAACTCACCCCCTCCAAACCAAAAGCCCTTTAACATAATCTTCCAAAAAGGACTAGTTTTTAATAGTCCTTTACCAACAGAATAGTGAATGGAAATGGCAGCAACTATTCAGCCTCTGCCTGTGATCAAGCCTTCTGGGACCCTCTGCGTAAGTCGTTCTAGCCGCTAGAGACAGAAATTTTGCCATCACCCTTGGCTCTCCCCACACTGCCCTCCATCTACTCTTCTACCACCTCTTGCCCAGGTTATAGAGTAGCTTTCAGATCCCTGCAACCCCTCTGCTCCACCCTCTTAAGACTTCCAGGGCAGTCAGCCCCACATCCCACTAGTCCAAGAAGGTCCCACACCTCCCTATCCCCTTGTTATGCTCTTACTGTTTTCTAGAGGATTTCCAACAAACTTCATGATTCGTTTTTGTCTACTGCCCATGGAATGGTAATTTAAACGCTATGAAGGAAAGGATTTTTGTCTTTGTTCGATGATGTATCCAAATAGCCCTTCTCTCACCCCACTATAGTAGTAAGCACTCTACAAAATTTGTGAGATGGAAGCAGGATCTCTTCTTCAGAGACTAATGTCTTTTCTCTGATCTTTTAAACAGCAAAACCCAAAATGCAGAAAAATTTCTGAAGCAGATGGCCCAGTTTCTTCAATAAGGAAATGGTATGGGCAAAGAAAAAAAGAAAAAGGAGGGAGAACTATGTTAGTATATAGATTAAAAGAAATGTAAGAAATATTAGCCAAAAGCAATATTCTGGGACTTTGGGGTTTGACTCAAACTATCTGGAAAAAAAACAATTCTGAAACAATCATGGAAATTTGAAAAGGAACTGGATATTAGATGATACTAAAGAATTATACTCTTTGTAACTTAATGGTATTGAAGTAAGGTGTGTTTTTTATTTATTTTTTATTTTTTTTTTAAAGATTTTATTTATTCATGAGAGAGAGAGAGAGAGAGGCAGAGGGAGAAACAGGCTCCCAAGGAGCAGGGAGCCCGATGCGGGACTCGATCCCAGGACCCTGGGATCATGACCTGAGCCGAAGGCAGACGCTTAACCATCTGAGCCACCCAGGCGCCCAAGGTGTGTTTTTTAAAGATCCGTATCTCTTAGAGATACACACTAATGTATTTGTTTGTGAACTGACAGTATGTTTGGAATCTGTTTTAAAATCTACAGAAGAAAAAACTAGACACAGTGGCAAAAATGAATTTTAAAAAAAGTAAACTAGCCTATATGCACTTACTAATAATTTCTAGTTATTTGGGTAAAAATTCTGATAGTCACCAACTCCACACTACAAAACAATTGCTTCTGAACACTGGGTGAGCATGTCAATAAATAGCCCAACTATTGCTCTTGAATCATTTTATTTATTAAGCATCACGCATACAAGAATCTCAAAAACCCCTGGGAACAGCGCATAGGAAGCATAAGAAGGCAACTCTTATTTCTCATTTGCAGCTTCCCCGGTTTGGTGCTTTTGTAGGCAATAAAGTTCTATTTATGGAGACCACTGGGATAGAGATCCATGTGGTGGCCATGCTGATTAAACATAAAAACAGATACATACTTTAATCTGTGTGATATATTTTAGGACATTATGCTATTTTAACACCTTGCAAAAAAAAAAAAAAAAACAACCTGCATTTTGTTTATGTATTATATGCTCAGATATATCAAGTAGAAGTTGTTTAACAAACACCTCTTCTAAAATGCAAACACTTTCTTATTCTCACCTCTACATAAATTACTTTAATTGAACTATCAACTATTCCTAGCCAGTACCAGTGCTACATGAGAGAAATGTACTATGACAGGCAGGCAGGCCTTGGTATGGTGGGAACTTAGTGTTGGCAACTGGATATAAGAAGGTGACAAAAATAAATCTGCCCTCCTTCCAATTCTTCCTAAGCTCTTGGTGGCCAGTATGCTGATGCAAAAAAAGGATCACAAGTTTCTCCCTTAAATTATCTGAGCTATCAGAAAAACTTTAACACAACCTAACCAATTATTTCCAGTTGAGCCTGATCTAGTGCAGCCTCTCTGGATCAGTTCAACGTCTCCTCTCCCCATTTGCCCCTTTATAGATCAGTACGGAACAACCTGAGATGTTTAGATGATAAGTATGTGGTGATGTCTTTATGACTTGACTTCTCTTCCCTTCCTTCTTCAAATCTTTCTTGATACCACACTCAGAGTGGTCATTCTAAAATACCTATGTTATCCTAGGACACCCGCAGAAGACTGCAAGACTGAGCTACGAGTTCTGAACCTCATTCCTGTGCACATAACCTTTTCACAGGATGACTGTGCTGCCTATGCCATCCAAAGGTAGAGTCTATTTCTCCACTTCCCTGGATCTGGGGCAGGCTTAACAACTCGACTCAAACCAACAGGTGTCAGGTGAAGCGACAACATGGACTTCAAACCCTAGGCCTCCAGAGGTCTTCAAGACCACATGGAAATGCCTTCTTGGCACAAGAGGATGAAAGCATATTAAGTCCTCCCTCTTCAGGCCGCCTGGGCCAACCACTGAACAGCTGTGACCAGCTGCCTGACAGAGGAACAAGGCTGTCTTAGATCACCCAACTCCATCAAGCCTGCAGATGACTACGGAAGTGTGAGTAACTCCAAACAAATCCGATGAAGAACCCCAAGCTGACCCCAGCCCAAAGAATTGTCATAAATGGTTGCTGTTTTGAAGGCACTAAATTTGGGGGTAGTTTCTTATGTAGCAATCATTAAGTGATACAACCCTTTGCCCTCATGATTAAGTTTAAACTCAAAACTTTCTTGATTTCCCTTTTGTAGTTCTCCAGTCTCATCCCACAGTCCACATATAACCATGAAAATCAATAAAGGGAAACCGCTCTAAAATGGAGCCAGAAGGCCTTCGCTCCAAGGTGCAAACTGATGATTTTCCTAGCATACTGAAGTTAGCTTGTAGGTGAATAAAAGACATGGTCCCCAGCATTCTGTTTAAAAGACTGTCTATGCATCATAGGAAATATTGAAGCACTGAAATTTTTTTTTTCTAATTTGAGGAATTAAGATTGTATTGCTTGAAAGGGAAAACAACTTCTAGACCCAGTCCTGTTAACCTAAGCTGACCATAATTCTCTCCCAAAGAGAAGTGACTAGAGGTTTAACATCACTCTGGCTATTCTGAACTGTAATATCCTTTAAAAATAAAAGGTACAAATAAACAGTTCAATAATAATAGTTGAAGATTTCCATATCCACTTCTAATAATGAACAGAACAATTAGAAGATCAACAAGGAAGGAAAGATTTTAGTAGCACTACACTAACTAGACCTAACAAACATCTACCTGAACACTCCAACTACAGCAGTATATTCTTCTCATGTGTACACAGAAATATCATAAAACAAGTCTAAATAAATTAAAAGGACTGAAATCGTATAAATTATGTTCTCTTGACCACAATGTAATGAAACTAGAAATCAGTAACATAAAAAACATGGAAAATTCACAAATACGTGGATATTAAACAACATACACCTAAATAACCATAGGTCAAATAAGAAATCACAAGGAAGATCACAAAACTTTCAGATGAACAAAAATGAAAACACAACATATCAAAGCTTGTTGGATGCTGTTAAAGCAGTGCTTACAGGGAAGTTTTTAGCTGTAAATGCCTTATTATAAAAAAAAAAAACTGCTATCGATAACCTAA